CTGGCGGGTTGGGGTGGCTTTGCCGTTTGGCGCCGGTAAATTGGAGCGGGGGTGTCCACATAAAATGCTGGAGAATGAGTCGGTCTACCCGCCGAGATGTCCATCAGCTTCCGCGGTGTTGGTGAGAGGCTTGGGGGAAGTGGGGGAAGTGGGGGGGGGTCGCTGGTGGTGCGTGGGAAGTTGCCCCACACACGGTTTGGCAGGCGGTAGTGCGAGTCGTCCGTTTGGTCCGACAGGCCTTTTGGACACATGGGGCGAGAGACTTTTGCCTTTTCGTTGAGAGCGCGATAAGCATGCACGTGGTGTGTGAGGGAACCACGCAGTCTGGCGCTTTGGTGGCGACGATGGCGAATGCCGTTGACAGTGTTTTGGGTGAGCCGCGGGTGCACGATGTGCGGGAATATCGGCTGTCGGAAGGCAATTCCGTGGACGGAGTCTGAGGGGGGCATGGCGTAAAGCACTTGGAGCCTGCATGGGGGGGTGGGTTAAAAGACGTCTGTGGGCCCTAATGGGTTTTAACGACAACAGGTGTGCGTTAAGTTGCTTGCACGAATAGGGTGCAAAAATAGGGGCCCACCCAAGAATAGAACCCCAAAAATCCGGGGGAAACTAACACCCGTTTCCACAACTACACTATGAATAGGGGACGCTTCTATTTTTTATACATAATTTATCAGATACATCTTATTCTTCTTTTAGTATATTTTTTAGGAATTTCCTGATCAAGACAAAATGAGTGTCATATCTTCTCGGCTATTTAGCTAAGATCAAGTTTTTAAACTGTTCTTATCAGAGTAATTCCTGATATGGGCTTCGGCCCTGGAATAGAAACTATTGATCTCCAAGGCGTTCTTCCGGAGTTCCACGTGTCCGGACGGGGCGCCTTTTCTTCCAAACCCTTTTTCTTTCACCTAAAATACATCTGCATGATTGATTTTTCCTCGTTCCCAAAAAAAATTTTTTTTTGAAAAAAAAAGGAGAGGCGCGTGCAAAAAACATCCGTGACAGGACTCGAACCTGCAACCCTCTGATCCGTAGTCAGATGCTCTTCCATTGAGCCACACGGACACATGTCGCCCCACTTGTATCAGCTATAAATGTAGGTCTTTAAAAGACGTGTTTTTTTTGCTGTGTTTTCCTTAATCGGGTGCCAGCCCGGCCAGCACAGGGCTCCGGTTTTTACAAAGGAGCGGGCGGGCCACAGGTAACATGGGGCAGGTTGTGGGCGTGGGAAGTGTTTTTTTTTTTGGACGGAGTTCTCGATTATCCAGCCCCTGCTGTTTAGGAAACCGGGAAGTTGGTAAAAAACCGAGCCGGCCTCGATGAAGTGCGGGAAAAGAAAAAAGAAAGGGGTGGGGTTGGTGGGGGGAGGGCAGCCTTAGTCCTATCTTTTCCCCAGCTCAATTCGCACCACCCAGTTTTTGAGTATGAATCAGGTTGTGATAATATTCGACTCAGTCATTTTGAGAACTTACTTTTCCGCAGTTTACCACGAAATGGGGGCTGGTGTGTGTTGGGCTTCATTCTCTATGACTGGGTAGTGATTTATTTGTCAGGGTTCGTTTTAATATTATTTGCTTTTTTAATATTTGTAGTTCATTGAAAAAAAGTTTTTGAATAATTTTTTTTTTT